GTTTTGAATGACAATGTTAAATACACTTGCTTAATCTAGTTATATAGTTTGATTTTTTTTTTAATTTTTAATTTTATTGTTTAGCAAATAGTGCTACAAAACATCTGGGAGCTTTCCTGTCTCTAAATTTAAAGAGTTCTCATATTTAGCAGATTGAGCAGAATGCATGCTGTGTACTAAACATGGTTTCTTATCATGGCAAAACAGACAAGACTCTTCTCTACTTATTTTGAATGTAAGCCATTTTGTATAGCGCAGTAACATTCCATTAAAGATAAGGAGATTCTTCTTTTATGCCTTTTCCCATTGGAAATTAACCAACTCTTTTAAGATCACTATACATCAGCGGCTATATGAGGCAGAATCTATTCTCAGCAAGAAGAGAGAATTGAAACTCCTGCTCTTTTGTTTCCCGGGATTCCCCAGAGTCTCATCTTTAGAAGAAGCTTAGTTTAATTTTGCCATTATTAAGCAGAGGAGACGTGAGGTTACAGAAGAATTTCAGATACACAAACTGTGATGCACCATCATTCTTTAAATAACGTAGGTTATTTGAGTTGTAATCGAGTACTTTTTCTCCCAACATAGCATGTTTTTCCAGTAATAAGAACAGTTGTGTTTTCTTGCTATACACTGGACAAGTTATAGCAGTTGTATTGTTTGGACTATAGAAGGAAACTAATGAATTGCTGGATAACAGCTCTCTATGTAAAAAATATGTATGTCTTGTTCATAGGTTGGGGTCCAGATTGATTAGTTGTTGCTGCAACTGCCATCTCTGCCCTGAGAAATTATGGATCCAAAAGTAATTACTACACATTGTGCCCATAAATATCTTTCTTAGTGCCCAACAGGTGCCCTATCGTGCCTGGTATTTTCACTGTTTTAAGCTGGCATGTTGCCAGGCAAAGTTCCAGCCATTAGGATCATCTTTCTTTTAAAGAATGTTTTGCATCCGAAATGAGCCCCCTTAACTTTTTTTTTTAATCCAGTATTTAATTTGAAGTGCAACTATCTGTCCAGAAACAAACAAAAGATAAACAAGGATAGTATGGACATTCCTGCAGGAAAGGAACTACAGGAGGTGACAGGGGCCATTCTAGTAAATCAACTCTTACCTCCCAAATTGGGAGCCTCTAGATAAGGAAATAGCTATGAAAGGTGCTGGTTAATGACTGCAATAAAGTTATTTATTTATTTATTTATTTATTTATTTGAAAGATACAGCTGGCTAAGCGTGGAATTAGGAGAGTTCAACATGAATTTAAAAGGGCATGAAAATCATAATCTTTGTACTCACCCACCATGTTTATATTGTTTATTTATCAAATTTCTAGGCCACCCAATTCCATTTCCCTTTGGAAGAATACTAAAAGTGCTATCATATGCCATGAATTAATTAGTAAGGGTAGGCAATAAGATCTCAGATACATAGTTTAAATCTGTTTACATGTATACATGAAAAATGAATGATGAAAAAAGCATGATTTACCTAATTTGTTAAGCTGGAAGATTTAATTAGTGAAGAATACAAGGTGATGAGGGGTTCTGAATGTGGGACAGACTAGCATTTGGTAGTATCAAGTGTGGATCTTGGGGGGGAAATGGACATGGAAAGTTAAGTAGGAAATAGAATGGATAATTATTGGATCATCTTAGTTCTGCAGTTTGAATAGTTCATACTACTGAGTAGCAATACAGACTCTCTTGACCTGGCTCATCTGCTTTCTCAGGAGAGTAGGGCAAGTACCATACTTTTAGAATTGAAATGGAGTCTTTATGCTTCCATGCAGTTTGGAGTGAGAAGTGGGAAGGTATGTTGCTGTAATACTGAGAAAAAAATTCATACAAGGGAATTGCCAATGAAACAAATGAAGTTGAAAGAAATTGTATAATGTTTAGGAAAAAAAATTAGTTGCAAAGATATAGTCAAGGAAATATGGAATGGTTAAGATTAAAAGAAGGAAATGTAGAACAATTTTGATAGAATTTTTCTAAAACTATTTTGAAGATGGGTAGAAAAAGCTAAACAAGGAAACTCTAACAGAGTGATAGAATTAAAAATAAATGTGAGAAAATGATTTGAGATGAAACTGGAATGACAGAATGATGGAAGGAGTTTTTAAAAGATATGTATGGGATTGATAGTGATGTATCAAATAATGGAATTGAAACAAATGCAATAAATGTTAGTGTCTAAGAAACCCTGATGTACCATAAGTCATAAATGCTGTAACTATGTTGAACATTGGTGAATGCAGCTGTAACTGGGGAAATGTTAAAATATGGATATAGCTATATCTATATAGCTATAGACTGTACAACTTATTTAATG